GGTGTAGTGGCACAAACCTGTAATCCCAGCACTCAGGAAAACTGAGGCATGAGGATTCCAAGCTGAAGCCCAGCCCAGGCAATTTAGAAACTTAGTCCCTCTTTCAAACAAAAACCAAAAAGGCTAGGAATGTAGCTCAAATAAACAGTGAAGTTATTTAGAAGAAATTTTTATTTAAAAACCACTGGAAACTAAGAAACATGCATGGAGTACAATTCTGTCTGTTTTCTTTCGTTTTTCTTTGTGAGACAGGGTCTTGCTTTGTAGTTCAAGCTGAACTTGAACTCACTGTGTCGCCCAGGCTGGCTTCAAACTTGCTGCAATCCTCTTGCCTCAGTCTTCCTAGCACTGGAATAACAGGTACAACTTTCGGCCTTGAGACATATGCACAATACTTCAATAGTTTAGTCTTCTCTATATGAAAAATAGCTGAAAATCTTTAAAATCCTTTTGTTCTAGCAGTTTATCTCAGGTATTATTACCTATCTTTGATAAAAATCCTATCTTTGATAAAATAAATAATTTTCCTATTTCTTTGTTAGTGAGTCATACTTTTCATGATACAAAATACTAGATACGCTACCACTAGAGAACCTGTTCTTTAACAACCTGTATGAGAGACATACTAAACTACTGCTTCCTCTCTCTGCTTCATAAGACAAAAGTGGTTCTAGAATCTGTGACCAGAACCTAACTGTGGTACCAGAAGCCATAAGTAACAAGTTAGATGCAAAGAGAAGCTGATGATATAGTAGTCATGAGCCACACCAAGGGAGCAAACAGTCTGTCCTCAGCTGCTTATTGAGAGACCACTAGTCTTTGCCACAGTGCATGTGCCAGTAGCTGGGCAGCATACAGAGAAGGGACATCTATTTCTCTTTTATAAGAGACACCTACGCTCTCTGATAAAGGACTGACAGCAAAGGATGGAGGAATGAGATCTGGATACAGAAAGAAACAAAAATTTTATTCTAGCCAATTTCAGGCTTACATGAAATGCAGATCTTTTTCTGCTATACAATAACACGTTACTAGGTCAAAAGAGGAATAAGACAAAACTGCATGCCTTCATATTTTATTTATTTTGCCTTTTAATGTACATAATGATCAAATTATATTGTGTCCTGAAATCAGATACACAAGCTTAAATATGGCATGGTTTCTCTTACATGCCAAAATCTAAGTAAAGACCAAAATAAAAGACAAGTAATAGGAAAGAAGGATATCTTTTGCCAACAGGAAAAGAACCAAAAAATGGGAGGGAGGAGAGGAGAAGAAGATGACAAAAGAATTAAAATGTATTATGTATGTGTGCAAATTCTCCATGAGGAATGTGATCATTATGGTCTACAAAAATGTACCAATAAAAATAAATTTTTTAAAAATGATTGTGTAGAACCTTTAAGAGGTGGGGTTTATTTGGTGTACTTATGTTAATGTAAGATCTGTCCCCAGAGGGAGTATGAAACTGGGATCACAGATTGTCTTCCTATCTTGAAGTGATTGCTTTCTTACACACTAGCTCTCATCAGCCAATGGTCTATTGCCAGCACTAGGCTGTTTGGACTCTTAGCCTCCAAAATCGTGAGCTAAATAAATGTTTTTTACTTATTTAAAAATTACACCGTGCCTTGAATTTCATAAATCATGATTCACAGCATAACATATATTGTATATCATAATCCAGTATAGCTACCATACAAATGAAATTTAAAACAAAATTTTACCCTTACTATATTTAACAAAATTTGCGAACTTTCTTATTTTATGCCTTCTTTCTTGAGGCTAGCTACATCACACAAACTAATTTCACGACAGAGTACAGTAATGTATCACAATCCAGAATGAAAAACACTGCTATATATGTATGCACACATCGTCTGGCCCCTGCGACCTCTCCAAACCACAGCTCATGCCATTCTCCACCACACTCCTCCACTAAAGCCACACCTCAGTACCTCATCATTCAGGTTCTCTTCTTTCCTACATTCAATAATGAATTTCTAAAGCACATGGTGCTTTTTTTTGTCCTAGGGCTTCTGATCTGGGTCATCTTGCCTGAAATACTCTCTCAAATCTTTGTACTTTATATCATTAAGGTCTCCATACAAAACTCCCTTACTTAGAAGAACCTTCAAGGACTGCCCAATTTGAAAGAGTCACCACCAGAAATCACAGCCAGGAAAGTGCTAAAAGAGAGCAGGAAAGGACCATATAAAAAAAGTAAGGGAGACAAAGGAGGAGTTTACTGCACTTAGCTGCTGGAAAGTCTGAGTGGCAAAGTATATGATAGATACACATAGACACAACACACATACAATCAGCATTTATCACACGTGATTTCACCTCCGCCTGCCATTGTACAGGTTAGTAATTTCTAATTATTTTGCAATAATTCCATTTATTCTATTCCATTTATTTGTCATGACTGTCTGATTAATATGCAAGGGGTCCACCTTCCAATCTCCTCGGTTACTCTCTCAGGCCATTTACCACTTTTTTTTTTCTCTTTTTCTATTCATTCAGCAAACAGTTGAATACCTAACATAATCTAAGCAATAGAAGAGTACAAAATAAACAAACATTTCTGTAACAGTTCACAGTTTAATAAGGGTGGCAGATCTATAAGCAAATAATTTTACCTGAATGAGGCAAGTAAAGTATGAAAGATGCACTGTATGAAAAAAGGAATGTGCAGTCAACCCTCTTTGAGAAAAAGAGAAGAATTATAGAAGAAAGTAGAAAGGAAACTATTAGCAAAGGGGAAGTAGAGAAGAGAAGATAGCTGAAAGAGGGTACTAGGGAAGAGAGGTTAAATCAAATCACGCTATATGCATGTATGACAATGTCACAATGGGACCCCTTATCTTGTACAATTAACATGTGCTAATAACTGTAAATAAACTCTTCAATGAGTTAAGCCCCTGGAGCTCATTGGCCATTTAAACCTCAGGCAAAACAGTGAAACAAGAAATGAATGACCATAAATCTCAGGCACTTACAAAATCCTCTGAAATTTATGAGCAATTTCATTGAAGATACTAGCTTTTTGTTGTTTTGTTGTTTGCAGTATTGGGGATTGAACCCAGGGCATCTCACATGCTAGGCAAGTACTCTACCACTGAGAGAAAGCCAGAAAACAGATTTTGAAGATGAAAAAATTGGGGTAGAAGTTGATACACATAAAAAAGACTGTGATTTCAAGTAGTTTACTGAAAGACTGGATTGGGCAAAAACTGAATAAGGCTGATGACATGCTTTTGTTTTATTTAATTTTTGTAAAATGAATCACTTGAGCACTGAAAAGAAAGTAGAGAGAAAAAGCATGAAAGCACAAGAAATAAAAAAACTGGAAGCAAAATGTCTGGAAGCAAACGAGATCAAGAGTAAAGATGGATGGAATTATTTCTCTACATTGGAAACCCGAGACTAAAGAATGTAAAAATGTTGTTCAATGAGTAGATTGGGACATGATACCTAGTGTACTGTCATCTGCTTGGGGAAAAAAAAGGAGAGGGGAGGGGACAGAGTTTACAAAGTGAGGTTTGAAGAGACCTCTACAGGAAATAGGCAAGGACAGATTGAGGTGACAACAACAAAAATTATAAAAGCAGTAATGGGAATGAAAGGGTGGTGGGTACAGGCTCTACTTTTAAATTAATAGCTATACCCATCCCGAGAGCACTGATCTTGCTATTCTCCATCTATTAACCTTTGTGTTGAAAAGATGAAGTGATTCCATGAATTAACTAGAACCTTGATGTTCTCAATGAGTGAATTAAAATCACTTAACAGGCTTATTAAAATATAAACAAAGAGTCCCATTTCAATTCCTTCAGAATTTTTGGTCATGATTGCTCAAGTAAGTGAATTCCAGAAGTTCTGTGTAATACTGAGACTGTTAAAAAGCAGGGACCAGCGGCTACTCAAAGGGTGAGGCGAGAATATTTCAAGTTTAAGTCCCACCCGAGCAACTTAGGTAGACCTTGTCTCAAAATATAAAACAAAGAGGCCTGGAAAAGTACTCAGTGGTAAACGCCGCTAAACTCTATTCTCAGTACTGAGATCTGAATAAGGGATATACATCACGGACCCAGAAGGTAATCAGTTGACTAATGGGAGCTGACCCAACAAGTCTCTATTGATAAATGACCCTTACACGGGGTGAGAAATTGTTCCACCACTCCGGGGAGCAAAGACCCCAAGATCTATTGTGGAGACAGTCACTTACACACCGCCACTCAGTCTTAATGAAAGCACGAAAAGAATGCAAAAGATTGGGCTTATTCGGAATAATGTGTCATTTTAGTTTCTCACATTCTAAGTCTTACTCCTTTAGTTTCTGTTACCCTGCTCTCGAGGATGAGTAGCAACAACGTGGACCCCAGGGTACAGCCAGAGACAGGGAGAGCAAGATCACAGAGGGAGGGTGCCTGGCAAGAAGGATCCTAGTGCCTCCGGGTGCCCATCGCCCCGAGACAGCGGGAAACGCGGAGTAATCTGGGCCCCAGAGAGCCCGGCCGGTCTCACCAACAGCACTCACCATGGTTTCAGGATCTCAGCACCCGAACCCAGGTACCTGGACAAAGCCGCTAGCAACGTGGTGTCGTTACTCTGGCAACCGAGCTCCACCCGCTGCTGCACACTGCTGGCCACACAGCCTCACCACCCCTTGGTCTCCAATGGCTGAGAGTCACTTCAGATCCGCCCATCCAATCTGCAGTCCCGCCTAGTCTCGCTGTCGCCTGGGGCTACAGGACGCCACCTTCCTCATACCAGTTTCTCCACTTCCGTTCTGTTGACAGCTGACCCGGAAATGTAAATGGATAGGCAGAAGCCTCCAAATATTGCTGGTTTTAAAATGTTTAATAGGTATCTATTCACTCATTTGGTAAGGCAATACTCCGTGTGTTCTGTGTTATTCGAGGTTAAACACACCACAGAACGTATGTCTTCCCGTTTGGGAACTGTGTTCCGGAAATGAAACCCCGAGGAAACGGAAGTGACCATAGAGAAGGAGCGGCTAGGAATCCGGAAACACTGGGCGTGTTGGCTTCGGGTTAGGCAAGGACCTGGCGGATTCCACCCGGTGACAACGAGTCGCAGAGCCTGTGAAGGAAGCCGACGGGAACAGGGAGAATAAGAATCTTATAGGTAAATCCTGAAGTGGTTCTAAACTCAGAGGAGGCAGTGTTGGAAAGGAGTGGACAGAAGTCTGGGCTGGAGTTTGTTGGCTATTATCTTTGGATTTAGGGAAAGATGTTTCGCGGAAGGCTTCCTCAGACAGAGACATTCAGTCGGCTTTCCAAGACGGCGAAGGTTGACAGGCTGGCCGGTTCTCGCCTGTCGCTGTCACATTGGAAACCCAGCCGACCCCTTCTCCTCACTTGGAGGTTTGGGACCCACTTCTCTGTGCTGGGACGTAGCGCCAGCATCTTCTAACAAGGTGGGGGCGTGTCTTGGGGCTGGACACCTGTTTTCAAAGCCAGAAACCACTGGTGAAGCAGGATCTGTGAGTGTAGGAAGTGAGTCACCGGGTCTCCGTGCTGAACCGAGTGGAGACACAGAGTGATCACTGTTTCGTAGTGAAGCCAGTTTTCCTGCAGTGGACAATCCATCGTATTACGGTATCATCTTTCTTGCCTGGTCCTCCGGGAATCTTGATCAGCTCTGTAAGGTCGTGCACACAGTTCTGAAAGTGTATGTTCAGTGTGTGACTCTTTTCACTCTTTGAAGCTATACCACCTTGGATTTTTATATTTTTATTTGTACATGTTTGCAGTACATAGTGATTACATTCATCATGGGGAGTTAATACATGTACATAACACAGGTTAAATCTTTTTTTACTTCCCTTTTCTCCCCTCCTTACCCCCTCCTCCCATCTCTTGTCTCATTTACATTTTAATTGTATTACCTAAAGTACAAATTAAATTGTTTTCAATAATATTTTGTCTCGTTAAACATCTAAACAGGAGCTTCTCTCCGATATAAATATAGAGAGGAAATTGTGTCAGTGTTTCCCAGTAGTTATTTCTTTTAAATTCTTGTCATTGTAGCAATGATGCATAAAACCCTACAGTAACTTCAGTGTTATTTCTGAAATAAAATTCAAGATACACCTCTAACAATTTAGAATGTAGTGGTAAGGATGGTGAAACAAAACATTTAAAAGTAAATTATGTCTCATTTTTTTGAGACACTTGGTAGCGTTAACAGTACCACCTGTGAGAAGAGAATGTAAAGGACACTTCCCTTTCTAAATGCACAGGTACTAAAGGCAGAAGCAATTAAAATATAATTTTTGAAGTAGAGGCATTCATTGAAGGTGTTTGTGTGATATCATGTTAATTCTTTCATTATACATTTCTAGATTTTTCTGTGGAAGTCTTGGTGTGCTTTTTTATTAAGAAAAAATGACTACTCTGGCAAGTGTAGAAACCAAAGGTAAGTGTTCTGATTTTGATGATGATTATTTTTAAAGCATGATATTTATGATGACATAAAGAAGAAATGATTGAGCCTCACTAAATCTCATAGGTTTCTTGGAAGTCATTTGTGTTCAGATTGCTTCATGCTTATTCTGTTGTGCAGAGTTTGTTTTAGTAATTCAGACGTACAATTGAATGTTATCATCTTTACATGGTTCTTATTATACAGCTACTCATTTTTAAGCATTTGGGGTAAAAACATTTTTACACTTGTATTTCCTGTCTACTGAAAGATTAAAGAATAAACTTTTTAAAGATTTAAATATATAAATAACATCTAGTAAGTATCAAAGACCTCTATTTTGTTGTCAGTTTGGGAGGGCTGCTTTAACAATGTACTACAAACTGTATGGCTTAAACAACAGAAAATTATTGTCCCACATTTCTGAAAGTTAGATGTCCCATATCAAAGTAAGTGGGAAGAAAGCCGGACTGTCTCTGAAAGGATTAGGAAAAGAGGTAGCCACCCTTCTAACTTCTGGTTGGCTGGCAATCTTTGGTGCTCCTCGAATGACAGGTGTACCACTCTGATCTCTGTCTTCTGGTTCACATGGCATCTCCCCATGTGCATGTCTCTGTGTTGTTTTCTCCATTGTATAAGGACGTCAGTTTTACTAGGTAATAGAATCACCCTACTCTGTATGATTGGAGGTTATAATAAACTTCAACATAAGAATATTTAGGAGATACAATTCTACCTTTAGCAATTAACTATATACAGTACTCACTTTTTTGGTACTGCCTTACTTCTTTGTAATCTTTAAATCTGTTGATCATTCCCTATCTTTGGAAATGCTTTCTTTTCATAATATCCATAGCATTACTTTTATTATCACCCTACTCTATGCCTTTACATTGTCCAGTGCGGTAATCACATCTATTTAAATTAACATTTTTTTAAAATTAAGAATTCAATTTTTAATCTCAAGTGTTCAAGAGCCACATGTGACTGGTAACTGTTATATTTCTATCATTGCAGAAAAATTATTTTGGAAGTGCTGCTCTAACTATATCTGGGTGATTTGTTTTTTTTTTTTTTTTAATCAGTGGTGGGTATTGGATCCAGGACCACGCACATCCTGTGCGAGTGTGTTAGCACTGAGCTACATTCCCAGCCCTCCATCTCCTTCTTTTTCATCTTCTTCTTCTGTTTTATCTTTTAATGTCTTTCAGCCTGTTTCTTTTCTGCTTTTATAACATAGTTATGCTTCAGTTCACAAACACTGTTAGCAAATGTACTCAGTTCACAAAAAAAAAGCATTTGGCAAAAGTTTGCTTCTATTCATAAACTTCCCATCAGGTGATAAACATGATCACAACCATCTTCTCACACACATACAAATGCAACCATTTTCCCCCAAATCATAAAACAAATTAAGTTTGCAAATTGAGATACCAACTGTCATCACTGGGACAAAATATGTGACATACACAATTCAAGGAAGAAATTTATTTTTATCTCATGATTTTAGAGATTTCAGTTCATTAGTTTGCTGACTACAACATAAAAACATCATGGCAGATAGCATGGTGGAAAAAAACTACCCACCTCATGATGACAAGGAAGAACAGAGACAGGAAAGGAGCCAGAAATGGTTCCCCAAGGTCATCCCCCCAGTGACCCACTCAGACACCAAGAAGTGTGCTTTATTAATCTGGGAATCTCTTAAGCCAATCAAGTTGGCATTCATAATATACCATCACACAGAGGTTCAATAACTGACTATCTAGGGAACAACTTCCCAAACTAGCAATAACCCAGTTTTCTTTTGTAATTTAGGCTCTTATATTATCTTCTCTAAATATAGGCAAAAGTCTTAACATGTCTCAAAGTAAATTCCTCCTCACCTGTTTTACACTTTGAGTATAAAGAGTTCTGCAGGCAGACCCTTCAGTGAGAGGTAGGAAACTGTTTTCCAACAGTGAGCTCTGCAGTAAGCAGACCTCAAGTGACAAACTTTTAAAGGGGGTTGAAAAATATTTAGGAAATAAGAAAGCTTAATCATGTTGATAAACACTTAATTGAATTTAATTCAGCTGGGCAACAGTATGTCTTAAATTATTAGAAAAGTTTTATAGTATTAAATCAGTCTAATGAAAGCAGTAAACAGGGAGCATGGGCAATAAAAGCAAGTAAATGATAATATGAAAGCAACTAGCATGGTGTTGGCAGAAAGCAAAACCTAAATACAGTGTTTTGATTAATGATTATAGATTTATTGTTGCAAGGTCTCTGAAATTAAAATTATTTGTTACTGTTTCTGATAAGTACTAAAGTCATAGAGCACTTTCCTGTACATTACCTCATTTGATATTAATCGTCCCTAACAAGGAAGATAACTCAATTACTCTGTTTTTATTTAATGCAGTGTCAACTATTGTTAGTGAAAAAAAGTTACTTGCATTGTCTGGTGTTATAGTTTGTATCTAGATGTCCCCTACCCTTGTATGTTCATAGGTGGGGAGTTTTAAAGGTTATTGAATTAGGGTGTGTGAATGTGGATTAAGAGTGTGAATAATGGAAGCCCTACCCTGGGTATAAGTGGCACCAATCAATAGGCTTATATATGGAATACAGTGGTGTGTTGGTTCACAAACTTGACTGCACAATTCTGGTCACAAATCAAGTTGGATGAGAACCAGATCAAATTGAGTGGTTAGATATAGTATTGACCTGATGAAGAAATTTGATTCATTTCTCATCCAGTTTGTAACCAGAACTATGGAGAGAACTGAGTTCATGAACCGACTTACCACTTTATAAGGGGACAGAAAGAAAGCTGGTCGCTGCTGTTTTGCTGCTGCTACTACTAACTGCCTTCTACTTGCCACACCATGGACTCTTTGTCCTATGAAATGCCCCTCTGCTGTGCTGCCCTATTTGGAACCAGTTTAGTATGGATTGAAACTTCTATAAACTGTGAGCCAAAATAAACTTTTCCTCCTTCAAGTATTTTGTCTCAGCAAGGAGAAAGTAACTAAGACAGATTTTAGTACAGAGGAACAGGGTTGTTGCTGTGATGTTTTCTGGCCATGGTCAGGAGCCTTTGTAACTGACTTGCAGAAAGAGTTTGGAAAGGTTTGGAGATGCTGAATGAAGAAATAAGCGCTGGACTGCTTTGAGCTGAACTTGATGGGAGATTCTGGTCAAAGCTGAGAAGACCAGGAAGCTGATAGAAATGCATCTGGTAAAGATGAGACTCAGGGGGCTGGGGATTTAGCTCAGCAGCATAAGTGCCTGCCTTGCAAGCAGGCATTCATGAGTTCGATCCCCAGTACCGGTAAAAAGGAAAAAGACAAAAAAAAAAAAAAAAAAAAAAAAAAAAAAAGATGAGACTCAGGAGGTGTCAATCAGGAACAATGACTACATTGGCTGTTGGACTCCAGACCATGTGTGTTATGCTTTGACAGAAAATTTGTCTGCATTTTGCTCTAATTCAGAGACTTCCTGAGACTGAATTAAGGATAACAGACTAATTAAATCTGGCTGAAGAAATTTCAAGATAGTCTAATGTTAAAGCAATGATATAGCTACTGTTGGGAGCTTTTAGCCAGATCTGTGTTGAGAGTTAAGAGCAAAAGGGCCAACGGAATGATTTAAAACATTTTGAGTTTGGCCAACAAGGAAGTTCTGTTAAAAGTTGCAGACTGCAAAGCTGGAGCAGAGGAAAATCTGGTTGCTGAAAATATTGATAATTAAAAGCTGAAGAGGCAGTAGAAAAGATATCTTTAGGGAATGACAGGAACCAGCAGTTTTCAGCCTCAGAATTGCAAAAGTGCAAGACTGCTTCAAGAAGGGAGCCTCAGGTGTTCCAGGATAGTTGGCAATCTAGAGAATTTGTTCCTAAAGATAGGTTCACAATGCTGTGCAATCCAGGAACTCAACTCCTACAGCCAAGAGAGAAGAAAGCCAGGATATTGTTTCAGCTGGAGGCAGACCCTGCCATCATCTACATGGTGCTGGTTTCAGGCATATGCAGGATCCAAGGATTGTGGGGTCAAGAAGGCTTCCACCCAGACTTCAGAAGAAGGCCTAAGAGGCCAGGCAGTGTGGCACTGACAGGGCAGGGTGCAAAGCTCTGAGTGTGAAGCAGATGTGTAGTGGGGAGAAAAGAAGGTTGGAGAAGCCAGAAACATGGATATCTGAGGAAAGTTGCAAGGAGTAAGCAGAGTGGTACCAAGAGAAAAGCCATAAGAGCTACAACTACAGCAGTGCTGTAGGAACAGAGACATCCAAGCTCTTTAGAGAGCTACAAGTGCCAGCTGTGCTGTAGAACAGTGCCATCGAAGCCCTTTAGAGAGCTACAACTATAGCAGTGCTATAGGAAGAGAGCCATCCAAGCCCTTTGGAGAGCTACAACTACAACAATGCTGTAGGAACAGCGCCATCCAAGCCCTTTAGAGAGCTACAAGTGCCAGCTGTGCTGTAGGAACAGCGCCATCCAAGCCCTTTAGAGAGCTACAACTATAGCAGTGCTATAGGAACAGAGCCATCCAAGCCCTTTGGAGAGCTACAACTACAACAATGCTGTAGGAACAGCGCCATCCAAGCTCTTTAGAGAGCTACAAGTGCCAGCTGTGCTGTAGGAACAGAGCCATCCAAGCCCTTTGGAGAGCTACAACTACAACAATGCTGTAGGAACAGCGCCATCCAAGCTCTTTAGAGAGCTACAAGTGCCAGCTGTGCTGTAGGAACAGAGCCATCCAAGCCCTTTGGAGAGCTACAACTACAGCAATGCTGTAGGAACAGCGCCATCCAAGCTCTTTAGAGAGCTACAAGTGCCAGCTGTGCTGTAGGAACAGTGCCATCCAGGCCCTTTAGAGAGCTACAACTATAGCAGTGCTATAGGAACAGCGCCATCCAAGCTCTTTAGAGAGCTACAAGTGCCAGCTGTGCTGTAGGAACAGAGCCGTCCAAGCCCTTTGGAGTTTACATCTTGCCACAGATTGTACAGAGTACTGGATGGAGAACTGCAGGATTTTGTTTGCACTTCTGGATTTTGGTCTTACTTTGATACCATTCCTTCCTATCCTCCTGTTTGTACCTTTTGGAAGGGAAATGTTTATGTTTTGCCATTTTATGTTGGAAGTGTTTAACTTTCTTTTCACCTTAAATATCAGAGGAGACTTTAGACTTGTATTTTTCAGGATTGCTGAAACTGTTAGGACTTTCACAACTCTTGGAGATGGATTAAATGTCTGTTGCATAAAGGGATGTGCATAAGTCTTTTGGGGACCAGCATCAGAGTGTTACAGCCTGTATCTAGATGTCCCCTCCAAAGCTTCATGCACTTGAAGGTATCTGGATTAGGGTGTGTGAAAGTGGATTAAGGATATAGGTAATGGAAGACCCACCCTGGGTATGAGTGACACCAATAGAAGTTTATAGCTTGGATGGAATGTAAAGTGACAGAACGAAGGCAGGCTACTGTTGCTGCTGGTCAGTTCCCTCTGCCTGCCATGCCATGGACTGATTCTCCTCTGATGCCCCTCTTACTATGCTGCCCAGCCAACCATAGACTCAAAACTACAAAGTATGAGCCAAAATAAACTTTCCCTCCTTTTATTTGTGGATGTCAGGTATTTGATCTCAGTCAAGAAAGTAACTAAGCCTCCTGGTAAGAGCAAAAGAGTATTTATCTTAATGTTGTCAGTTGTGTGCATTTCTTTTAACTGCCCCAGGAAAGAAGCATGTTGAGACAGCAGCAGCAGTTCCTCTCAGAGGACATAGTCTCAATACTGTCTTCATAGGAGGGATATAATATTGTTTCTTGGGCTGGTCTGAAAGGGAAAGATACAATAAATAGTAACATTTAGAAAATTACAGTTGAAGTCGAAAAATCTTACTGGATGCAATATTAAAATTATAGCTAGTAAAGTTACATAAAATGAGGTCTGAGACATTTAAATACATATAAAATGATCTAATTTGAACACATATTTAACATGATCTAATTTGAACACATATGATGTAACTTGAACACTAGTTCTGTGGGATAGTAGAGGTTAGGTACAAAAAGTCTTTCCAAGCCGGTAAATTTGGGAAATGTTGGATGAAATGAAAGGTGGTGCTCCATGTGTAATAGAGTTTAACATACTGAAACGTGCTGTGAAACTGCAAGGAGATGCAGTATGCAGAGCTCTTGCACTTGTTTGACTGAGCGTGTACCAAGAGTGGTGTTTGGATACTGCTTTACTAAATGTTGGACTACTAAGTCTATTGCCTATGACATATTTTTCTAATCTAGTGATAACTAAGCTTTATTAGGCTATACTGATGGCATTTTTAAAACTACTGTTTTAAAATTACCATGTAACAGGGGTAGGGGATTTAGCTCAGCGGCATAAGCGCCTGTCTTGCAAGTAGGCAATCGTGAGTTCAATCTCTGGTACCGATAAAAAAGGAAAAAGACAAAAAAAAAAAAATTACCATGTAACATCTGTTTTGTAGCTGAATTTGCATATATTCTGAAGTGTGTCAGATGATATCACTGACTTAGAAATTAATGATTTAGTGAGGAGGGGAAAATGAGCAGTTTTCAAGAGACTGGGTTATTGGATGTTTCAGTGAAATCTTCTGGGTATGCATTAACTGATTTATGAACCTCATAAAGGCTAATCTTTTTTTGTTTTAAACCAAGCATGTTTTCTTAGCTGGTAAACAGAGTTATAGCTGTCATCACCCTAAGGAGCTGCCAATGGTGTGGTCTTCAAGAGAAGCAACTTATTTTGAAATATTGTAGTATTTGCTTTATTTGGAAAGCTCTGAGGGACTAGAGATGGACAAAGTGATTTGTCCAAGGTTCACAATGCATAACTGTAGCAATTTAGTTTATTTTAACTTGTAGTCTGATGTTCTTTCCGCTACCGCATCTGGGTGATGGAGAAAACCCATCTCTATAATACTTGCTCACTGATGGGCTGTAAAATCGTACATGTTTTGTCTCTCATTCTAGAGCAAGAGTTGGCAAAGTGTGGCCCTCACGTCTCCTGAAAAGGTCTTCAGTCAGATTGATGATAGGGAGCAGTAACGTTGGATCCCATATACATGGTGTTATCCCAAATACAGTGAAATAGAATTCTGCCCTTATTGGTAGATCTGTATTGCTAAAAACTTTACTTACTATTATCACTTTAATTTCCCATAAATATTTGGTTTTCTACTTCTTACTTAAGTACCTAGGTAGTATACTTGACTTTAGATCCACACAGCCTAAAATACTTACTTTCTGGCCCTATCCGGAAAAGTTTGCCAGCCCTTATTCTAGAATGTTAGACTAGTGATCTTATTTGTTTTTCTGTACACTTACCAATCCTTAGGGAAGGCAGCAAAAATGAACCATAAACCAACCAGGTGTAGTGGCACAAGCCTGGTAAACCGAGGCATAAGGATCACAAGCATAAATCCAACCTGGCCAACCTCATAACTCTGCAAAACCTTGTCTTTAAATAAGACATAAAGAGTTGAGGATTTAGCTCAGTGCAGTGGCTTCAGTCACCCATACCACAAGGAAAAGAAAAAAGAATGACTCATAAATCTTAGATATATTTTATTCCATTGAGAAGTGATCACAAGTGGAAATGTTAATCAGTAATACAAATATTGTTCTGTTGATTCCACTTAAAGTGTGAAGAAGAGTCACTATTGATGTTTTGCTTTACTCAAGCATTCCTCATAACTATGGAGTTGGTCCCATAGATTTTTGTCTTCTGACTTGAGAGAAAGTCATTGCTCATGAATGTGCCCCAGATTGTGTCCAGCGCCTGAGTAATAAAGGTTTCTGTGTGTGTCACAGGGAAAAATTGGATTCTGAAAGATGAGCTACCAGGTGAGAAAATGTACAGCCTTGTCTCTCACTGCCTGTTTTCCTGTCCACATGAGCTAGAATCACAGTTGGTACAGAGTGGAAGCTGCCTAATAATACATAGCATACTTTGATTTTCATGAATGCTTGAGTAAGTAGAACAGTATAAATAAAAGAAATAGTAAATCGGTATTGAAATGTGTTGGTTGAACTTGCTTGTTGGAATTTAGCTTTTTTAAAAAAGACATTTCTATTAAATACCTGTTAAGGTTTCTTTGCCTTTTAAAATTAATATTAACCATTTTGTGATATTTAAAATCCCAACTCAGAAATGTGATGACTTACTTGAAAATCCTGTTTGATAAAGTATCACACCCTTTTCTTATTTCCTAAGACTCACTTTGCCTGGTTTTCATGTCTGTAGTGATCTTTTTATTATTGTCTAATAATTTTATTAACCTATAGTTAAAAAATGATTCTACATTATTTCTTATATGCAAAAATGTCTTATTAACAACATTAAATCTACCTGAAGTAAAGTTAGAAACACTTAAAACCAGATTTTATGAACACAAAAGGAATTATTTTTAAAATGGTTTAGTGCTAACGTGTAATAGCATGTTTTAATTAATATACCAAACCCTTTATCTGACATTTTGAAATACTGTGTTCCTTTATCTTTTTGAAAGTAGTCCCAAATGTATTTTAGTTTACATTTCATACTGAAGTGTCACTTTTATTTTAATATAAAAATACTTTAAAGCACATTAATTCTACCCCCTGTAGCTTTCTCCCTTTTAAGGTAATTCAGTATTCCCAGTACATTGCTATGTACATAGGAAATTTTTTTTTAAAATCTATTAAATGAAAAAGTAGCCCTGTAGTCTAGTGATACAATTTTGAGGCTTGTGCAAAGGAATAAAAGTCAGAATTCTATTTTAATAACATTAAGTAAACTTTTACCCTTTTTAATCAACATCCAGAGTTTACTGGGGAGTTTTTTGAAAGACTAATAATAATAAGACCTAACATTATAGTGAGTGCTTACAGTGCCAAACATCGTTCTAAATATTCCACATGTATTCTAATGTACTGTTAATTATAGGAACTGAGCATGCAAAATAAAATAAAACTACCTAAGGACATAAGGAATAGATCTACTGATATATTAAAGAATGATTTTGGAAGGCAGTTTGACAGTACAGATGTTTACCAGACCCTCCAATTCTGTGCTTTGGAATTTTTTTTATTTGAAACAAATATTTCAAGTCAGACATACTAGCATAAGCCTATAACCCCAACTACTTGGGAAAGTGAGGTAGTAGTACTCCTTAATCCAGAAGTTTGCAATTAGCTCCTGAGGACATAACAAAAGCCTATCTCAAAAAAAAAAAAAAAAGAAAGAAAGAAAACAAAAGAATTCAGAAATTGAGAAAAATCTGTAAACGTGGATATGTTCACTAAACTGTATTTATTGTGGTAAGAATTAGAAATAGTATAAATATACAACAAAAGAATATGTTATACAATATTAACCTAAAGCAATATATGATAGTCATAAAATAAAAAATGAAATTATTGCAAGACATAATATATTGAGCTTAAAAATTTATTGTGAGTTCAAGCACTTAAAATACTGAGGACAGTTAAAGTAATGAGACGTGAGTGATGAGAATATAGGTAAAATTTGTCTTACCAGTGTATGTTAATAATGAAGTCTTTTTAAATTACAGTAATAAAAACCAGGCGATTTGTGACTGTATGTGAAGATGACTTATTCTATTCTGTAGTTTTTGTATTTGTGTCAAATCGAAAGATGAAGAAAAATAAGTTCAGTGAAAAGCAGAAGGCTCACACATCCCAGGAAAGTATTCTTGTTAGGTATTTTCTTGCAGTAAAACAGCTTTATTAACGTCGCGCCAAACAAGCCTACCATTCCTACAGTGCTTTTGCTGGAGAATTCCATTTCTGGTGTCAGAATCCAGGAAATCAGCTGCCAGCAGAGTCTCTGCTTCAGAATCTTTAAGAGGTGTGATTCAAAATATGGTGAACACTGCTGCCAAATCCCATCCAACAGGAAAGCAGGCTTGTAAGGATACCACAGTATGTCCTTATCCAGCTGGGGTTCTGTGCAACTTCTGGCTCTTCTCCAAAGTCAGAATAATGATGAAAGGTCAACATTTTTGAATAAGTTTAGTCATGGCAGTGCAACAAAGACACTTACCAAAGAAGACTTCTAGAACTGCTTCAGAAAATGGCAAGAACCTTGGGATAAGTGTGTTCAAGGAGAGGGGAAGTATTTTGAAGAAAATCCATGGCAGTGTGTCTTTTACTGCATGTTTTTTAAATGCAAATATGCTCTGTGTTTTTGATCATGCTTTATACCTACTGCAGTTTTTGTATTTAACTAGCATTGTTGAATGTCTGCCTTATGACACACATTTAACCATATCAGTTGTCTTACTGTCTCCATTTTACATATCAGGATGTAGAGATTAATGGAGGATTAAGTTATTTTCCTAGATCTTCAGCAGCATAAAAAATTATTTACCCAGGGTTATACTGATACATAGAAGTCAGAACCAAGTACTATGATTCCCATTATCTTGCATTTTTCTACCAAGACATAAGCCATTAACTTAAATTTTGAGCTTAATTCATTTTTTTCTTGACACTTAATTGTTTTGAAACTATAACTTTTTCTAATAATTTTTGCCAGTAATTCTGAATGTTTGGCAATAGTCTTGGCATTTTTTAACATGACTTTTTAGTAAGTAGTGCATATTTTGTTTTCCTTTTGTTAGTCATCCTTACTTCAGCCCCAATCCGAGGAGCAGGAGATGGAATGGAAACTGAGGAGCCACCTAAGTCTGTTGAAGTCATCTCTAGAGTCCAATCCGTGAAACATCACATCCTTCAGAGTCCACGAAAGAAAGCAGTTCCCTCGGAGAGCCCAGGAGTTCTTCAGCTAGGGAAGATTGTCACTGAAAAGGCAGTGGAAGTTGAAGCTGTACGAATATTTGTTCCCAAAGCTGCTATAACTCATGACATCCCCAACAAAGCAAAAGTTAAATCTCTGGGATATCATAAAGGAGAACTCCTTGGTCATTCAGAGGGAGTTACAGAACCTAGAAAAGAACTCTCAGGGGTAAAGAATATGTTGGAAAAACTCAAGAACTCTGAAAAGAGGTTACTGCAGGATATAGAAGGTCTTTCAAACCAGCTCCGGGTGCAGACAGAGGTAAGAATTGCCTAATTGGCTTTAATCAGTGCTCTTACAACTCGTCCTTCCAAGCCTGCACATTAAAACTGCATTTCTTCATGGAAATGGCAGTTATCATAGGTCGTCAGTTATCTAAAACGCTTCTTAAATTTCTCATGTCTCTATCAGTCCTCTTACCGATTATGTTGAGAATATGGTCAGAGATGGAGGAGACGTGAGATGCTGTGGGCACTTGTAAATTGTATAAGTAGGTTACCATTGGAAACTGCCAACCCAATGATGCAGTAAGTCAGGTGTTGAAGTTGATGAATTTAGCAGGGCTTGTTTTAAGGATTCATAGATTCCAAGGATCTCTGCCTGTGTATACATTATACAGTATATGTGGAATAAAAGCAATGGTAGAATAAGTTATCATGTATTCATTATAAATGGAAAAAAAACTGATTGTGTTGCTTTAATCTTTATGTCATCATAAAATTGACTGAACCCTCCCCTGGTTTTTTGTTAGACTATATGTGTTTTTGGTTAGATGGTGATTTTTGTGACTTTTTAAAAACATGATAGTTAATGATTCTTGTCCATATGTATTTATAATGTACTTAGTAGAATAATTTTGTATATCTTTAATTTCTGAATACAAATCCATGTATATCTACTCCTGAATATTTTAGAAAATATAGAAAAATATAGTTGAAAATGGCAGTACTTATAATTATACCACCCAGATGTAATTGTGTACCTTGTAAGATTTATTTCATCTTATAATCTACATTTTTCAGTTATTAGTGTTTTTCTATGTTATAACATTCTTTCACAATTATTATTAGCACCAGTGATATTCAGTGCCTACAGCCGTACCTCTTTTCAATAACAGTGTAAAGGATTACTTGTAGATATCCTAGATTATTTCCTATTCTTAAATTCCTAAAGTTAAAAGTCCTAAAAATCATAGAATACAAGATTAATTTTAAAATGTTGAAAGAAAACCATATAAAACATTCTCTGTTTTTTTCAGCGAAGTGACTATGTTTAGTTTTGTGATTTTTTTTCCCTTTATGTATTGAATGGCAGCAGTTTACTTTCATGATAATGATATTTTCATGATAATTGTTACTACAGAGACTCAGTTTATAACCACATTGTCTATAGATATAGATTGTATTCGTATGTGTTGTGCAACTTCAGAATTACTTTTATTGTGGTGCTGGGTACCAGGAATCAAACTCAGGTCCTTGCACTTGCCAGGAAAGTGCTTAATACCGCTGAGCTATATCCCCAGTCCCTATTAATATTGCTTTTTGATACTCACTTTAAATAATGGAGATCCAAGCGACACAGATAGTTTCTCTTTCATTAATTTTCTTCCATTAAAGTCAGTGGCATAGGGGCTGGGGATTTAGCTCAGCAGCATAAGCACCTGCCTTGCAAGCAGGCAGTTGTGAGTTCGATTCCTGGTACCGATAAAAACGAAAAAGACAAAAAAAATAAAAAAATAAAGTCAGTGGCATTACTTTGAGCTTATATTAGTTATGTTCTTCTCGTCTAGGTAAATCGTGAGTTAAAAAAGTTGCTGGTGGCTTCTGTTGGGGATGATCTTCAGTATCACTTTGAACGTTTAGCCCGTGAGAAGAATCAGCTTATTTTAGAAAATGAAGCTCTGAGTCGAAACACAGCTCAGCTCTCCGAACAATTAGAACGTATGTCAATACAGTGTGATGTGTGGCGAAGTAAATTCCTCGCAAGCAGGTACTATCTGTTGTAAATAGTACTAACATCTTTGTCATTTATCCTTCACAGGAACAAACTACCCAGCACCTTCACACTGAGATATATATATTTTTGATTTTGAAACAGGGTATGCATTGCCCAGAATGGTCTTAAATTTGTAATCCTCCTTCCTCTCTCGCCTCTGGGAAAGTAGGCATATACCTCTGAGCCTGGCTTATTTCTTAGTTTTTCTTCTGTCATGAGAAAGTAGCTATAACACGAGAAAGTAGATTAAGTGTGAAAATTTCTAAGGTTGCCAAAGTACATTGTGTGTTATTTAACATACAGTACTTTATCTCCTCAGAAGGAACACACAGTCTCCCTAAATGGAGGAATAAGAGTCCTTCTCATTCTGGAAATCTCCCTTGCTGCAATGTTTAAGGCCAAAACAAAATGTTAAACTCAGGCATCTGATAAATACTAAAATCACAAAAGACAAAACTAGATTTGTTCTCAGTCCTGAGAACTCCACATTCTATTCTTAGAGCTCTTTGTCTGTGTAACAAGCTTCCCAACCTTTTTCTATCCATGCATAAATAGGAATTATAGCATTTTTGTAGCATACTGCATGAGACCACTCTCTAACGTGTTAAAAAGCACACACTCCGGTTGGGAATGTAGCTCAGTTGTAGACCACTCATCTAGTGTGTATAACACTAGGCAATCACTGATAGTGATGTATACATTTTCAGGAAATATTTTTTAGTAGTTTCAGGATATTTTTTAGTGTTGATTATTCTCTGAAAGTGCTTCATTTGTTTGATTTCTAGTTGTGCCAGTATCGTATGCTATTTGAAGCAAATCACTATTGACTTGGAATCAAAGTTACTTCTTATTAAACACTTTAAAAGGCAAATCATTACCTCAGTTCACAAAAGATTCCTTCCATGATTGATTGGATGAAAACTGAATCAAATTCAGTGGTTAGGTTTCATGTTGACCTTATGGGCAAATATGATTCTGGTCTTACCCAGTTTGGTTTGTAACCAGAATCATGGACAGAATTGGGTCCATGAACCAAGGTACCACTGTATGTTACACAGATTAACTTTCTGGACATACTGATAGTAACAGTATAGACAATGAAAATTATTTTTAATGTCAAAATTGTTTTCACTTAAAGAAATTTAGTAATAACTATAATCTGAGACTTTTTTTTCTGGTATTGGGAATCAAACTCAGGACTTTGTGCTTGCTAGGCAGGCACCATATTATGAGTTATATCTCTGGCCCAATCTGAGACTTTTAAGTTTTAGGATTTTCAGCTGACTATTGTGTAAATTTTTGCTTCGGTTCTAGCAATAAAGAACTGGTTAAATAACAAAAACATTTTATTTTTTAAAATTGGAAGTCAGATAGCTCTACATGTACTAAGATGGAAATTTTTCAAAGATAAGTAAAAAAAACTGTAGAACACTTTGTATTAAATAATCCATTTTTGTAAATAAATTACATATTTTTTAAACATTTATATTGAAAATACACATAATTTTGGGAGGAAATATATGTTATACATAGAGAAATGCACATGCGGGAAGGAGAAAAGACAGCCTTCCTTTTGCAGAAGCCATCCTACATTAATGTTTTCCTAAAAGCAAAGTATAGTTGAGTAGTAGGGAAAGAACTCATTTTTGTTTTCCTCTTAAAACATTTCTATATTTAAAAAAAAAAAAAAAAAACATTTAATTTTTCACCACATAAAGCTGCAGTAAGATTAATTTCAGAAGTCAGTCAGTATATAGAAAAATAAAATGCTTATTTAATTTGTCATTTTGTAACTAAGTATTTTAACTGGATACTTTAATAAGCTCTAAAGAAACAATTTTTAGTGAAAATTTTAAAACTACAAAGCAACTTGTGTTAATCTTCTTTGTTAACATATTAATTTCTGTACATGGTTATTGTTGGTGAATTTGTAGGTAAGATTTTGATCTTTTCAGGGTAATGGCAGATGAGCTAACCAATTCCAAAGCAGTTCTACAGCGTCAAAACCGGGATGCACAAAGTGCTATACAAGACCTCCTGAGTGAACGGGAGCAGTTCCGTCAGGAAATGGTAGCTGCCCAGAAGTATGTCACTGGATTACATTCTAAACTTCTCTGGTTTCTCCTGCAGCTGTTTTTATTGTAAAAGTTTTTTGTTTTGTTTTGTTTTGTTTTGTTTTTTAAGTTTCTTGTTTCATTTGATTTTTGGCTTTGTTATGTGTATGTGTGTCTGTGTATGTGTCCATATTTAATAGATTACTGGATGTACACTTTGAGTGACACCATAAAATAGATGCCCTGGAAGGGAGGAGGCCTAAAAACATAAAAACATGTTTCCTTTCGCATACTTAATTGGGAAGAGAACTATTTTTAATAGAAGGAATGTCTGAATTTAAATGCATTTTTTGGTTATCATTACAGTAGTTTTATACAGGTTTTTGGAGAAGAATGTGCCTGTCTTATAATAAGAAGATCATTTTGAAGACTTACTGTAGTATTAGTGTTTGTTTTCATTTTCATACACTCCAAAATCATTAAAACTGAGAGTATTCCCAAAAAATGAACAACCTTCCATAAAAGATCTGTACTTTTGTATAATTTATTACCAAGATAATGAATAAGAATCAAAGAATAAATTGCATGGGAAATTAGGAAAACAAAGCACAAAATCCGTGAAAGGAAACCAACAATATTTAGAGGAAAATTCAGTGTTTTAAGTGTTTATTTAGAAAAGAAAAATTTCATTTGATTTTAAACTTCTTCAATAAATGCAAAAAGCAAATTAAACCCAAAATAGATAAAAGGAGGAAAACAGGATCAGAGCTAAATAAAAAGAAAGCTAAATGCTAGTTCTTTGGAAGAAAAGAAACCATAAGCCAGTCTAATTAGAAAAACTAAAAGAAGATATACACTAATAATCAGGAATTAAAGAAGGATACACCATCAATTGTATACACATAGAAAAGATAATAAGAAAATGTTATTCACAACTCTCACCAATAAATATAATTTAGATGAAATTGGCAAACTCCTTAAAGGATAAACTATCAAAGCCTACTCAAGAACAAACACATAATATGAATAGCACTGACGTATTAAAGTAGTTGAATTTGTAATTAAGAACCATCCAGTACAGGAAATTTCAGACCTTTGTGGATTCACTGGTAAATACTAGTAAACTTCTAAGAAAAAAAAATCCAATTCTTTCAGAGTATAGAGACAGTTCATATTTTTGAGACCAGCATTATCATGATACCAAAACCAGAGACATTAGAAGGCAACTACAGACCAGTGTCTGTAAAGATTATAGATGCAGAAATCCTGAAGAAAATTTTAATGATTCTAATGACAAAAAAAAGTTTACACATTCTAAGATAGTATGATTAACCTCAGGTATTGTAGATTGGTTTAGCATTCAAAAATCAGTGAGTGTAACTCACCAAAAAACAAAAATCATAGATGTATACAAATTAAATCAGTAGTTTGTATACTAAAATGGGGTAATTTCTAAAGGTAATACTTGTTGATTGATTTCCAGATGACCTCCTAGTAGACTGACAGATGCTTTTATAGCATAAAAATTTACCAGGTTTCCTGAACTCTGAGAGAAACAAGGGGTTAAATAATCTCAGGAATACGTTTATGTGCTGTTACGGATTTTTACATTTTGTCCTCTGATTAATGTTCATTCTCATGTGTGTCCTGTGCAGACTTTTGGAGGAGCTCTTGATTTCCTTACAGTGGGGAAGAGAGCAAACTTACTTCCCTAGTGCCCAGCCCCACAGCACAGCAGAACTGGCATTAACAAATCACAACTTAGCAAAGGCAGTACATTCTCATCTTCTGGGAAATGTTCGCATCAGCAGTCAAAAGAAGATCCCATCAGCAGTTGAATTCTGCAGCACGCCAGCTGAGAAGATGGCTGAAAAGGTAAAAGAGCATATTTTTCCTCATCTGTAGAGCTGCTTTTATGATCTGTGGAATTTCACTCTCCCTTCACTAAAAAATGACATATTCTAATGAAAAGTGCTTGGCTTTGGAATTTGGAAATATGAGGTCTGCCCATAATTTTTATCTAGAGACCAAAAATACAGCTCAGTTGCACAAGCAATTGCCTGGCCAAGCAAGGTCCCAAGTTCAATTCCTGGTTTTAAAAAAACATAAAACAAACATAGTTTTTATCTAGTAACTTGTGATCTTCAAGAAAATTATTTCTTCTGGTGAGTTTAATTTTTTCTAACATTACTGCTAAAGAGGTCCTTTTTTTAAGCTAACAAATCATTGATAGTCCTTTTCTTTATATTTTAAGGAAAAACATGCTGTGTAAATTTTTAATTTAGTAATCATTAGTAAACTAAATAAGTTACTTCCCATCTAAGAAACTATTTAATTCCTACAGATAGATAGGAATGTGCCAAATAGTGTAGACTAATGCATACGAAGTATGGACGGTCCTGAAAAATTCAGGGTCCATGCAGGGTCCATCCATTAATACTGTGGTCTCAAAGTTTTATGATGACAACCAAGTTCTCCTCCATTAAAATTTTAGCACTACCTGGCTATGATGGTGCGTGCCCATAATCCCAGAACTCAAGAGGCTAAGGCAGGAGAATTGAGAGTTCAAGGCCAGACTGAGATACACAGCAAGACCTTGTCTCAAATCTACCCTACCCCAACCCCATACCCCCAAAAAGACTCTAGCTCCCATCTCTCATGTCCTCCTCTTAGGCCTTGTCATTCACTAGAACTGTTCCACTGTTACAGTATTCACCTCTCTCTGGTCTGTTGTCCCAGTTTCCTTTCTATCTAGTTATAAGTCATTCACTCTGACTTTGCCTCCTCCGTGCTCTTGTCATTAGTTTTAGTCCCTTGATCTCTTTATGTCTTTCATCTTATCAGCTCACTCCCTGCCTCTCTCCCTTCCTGTCTATAGAGAACCCTTTCCCCTCCTCAGGACAGTGCAGGAAGGTTTATATTTGTAATCCCATGGACAAGTTATTGGAATTCTAGTGAGTTAATTCTAATCTACCACTTCCAGGGCAAGCCATAGTGACAGTAAAGACACTAAGATGTACATACAGTTACGGGGAACCTGAGTAGGTTCATAATCAGTATAGGAATCCAAGCAGCCAAACTGACAAATTTTGGGATTTTATTAGCTGAGCCTAGTGACCACTCGTCATGACCCCTGTTTCAGAGTCAGCTCGAGTGGCCCTGAACTAGAGGGTTACAGAGCTTTTAAAGCAGAAAAGCGTAAAGCAAGACATCCTGATGGAAACAGTTTAGCTAGAATCTTACAATAATTTTGGTTGACACTTGTATCCTGCTTAATTTTTTTTTTTTTTTTCCTGGTGCGGGGGATTGAACTCACGACCTTGTACTTGACAGGCAGGTGCTTATGCTGCTGAGCTAAATCCCCAGACCCATATTCTGCTTCTTTGTTGAGCAGGTTAATTTTTTTCTCTTGTGGGTGCAGCTCATTCATCTTTTCTCATAGCCTTGTACTCTGAGTCATTTTTCACTTTTTTAGGTCAAATACAGGGCACAAGTCAAATACCGGGCACAAGATGGCATCAGTTATGCCAAGCTACAACAGAGCCAAGGGGCCCTAAGTTCAGCCCAGATGGTGGTTCACGGGAACAAAGGCCATGACCTAAAACCAAACCAGTCCTTTTTGCCACGGGAAGCCATAGCCTCCTTCCTGAGGCTCTGTCCCAGCCAGCACGGCTCTCCATACTGCCCCACTCAATATGTTTGGGAAGTCACTGGGCGGGGTAACACTGACCTGTTGCTTTGCTTCAGAGATTACACATCAGTTCTTCAGCTGGCCCTGTTAACATTGCTTAAAGCCAATTGAAGGGACAAAGAAATAACCCAGCCGGCTCTGTACATATCAGTGTTTGGAGATAGGGCCAAGTTTATCCAAAATGGAGATGGCTGTCTTCTTTTCAAGGAGAGTCCTCCGGTTGTTTAAGTACTTCACTTCCTTGATCCTTCTACCCTAGTATCCTGGGAACCCCAGTAGTCCTTTGTCAGTTCAGCTGCGTGCCCTTTATTTTGATACCTATCAAACTACTGCCTTACAGTCAGTAGAGAATTTTCATTCCTGATTTAAGAAGAAAAGCATGACACAGGTCCTCATAGTCTCACTTGATATCTAGAAGCTTGTATCTCTGATAAGAAGCATTGTGGACATTTTCCTCCCAGGAAAAAGAGTTCCTCCTGGTCCCTAAAGCACAGTTAACGTAGAGGCTCATCAGTGCCCTCCCCACGCTGTTGTTATCTATTCTTTCTCTGGTTTTTGTTCCCTCTTTGGGGTACTGAAAACACTGAGAACATGCCCAAGTGTCATCCATCTAATAAGCAAAATTCCCCTATCATAAGTCTCCTGCATGTGGCTTTAACACCTTCCTTCACAGCCAGCAGTGTACTTGGACACATACTTGTTCCTGCATACCACCCATTCCTTAATTCTGACGCCACTTAAAAGTAGAACACTTCTAGCCCCACTGTTCTTGCAGAGCACTCATAGGAAGGTCAGGAGTATTTACTTTATGGTTATATTTTACTTTATTAAGTGTTTCTTCCTTGAAACTCTTTTGTCTGTCAGTATTTCTCAGCATGGACTATCCTATAACCCTAAGCTCTATGCTTGCGAATTTTCTACCTGAGATATATATTCTGATTTCAAGAGATTTATATCCAGCTACATATTTCTATTTAGTTCTCCCCGCAGCTAAAAATAGAATACCCTCTTTCCTCCTAGGTTTCGCATTTGTACACCTAGATCCCAAAGAGAAAACAACCTTTTCCTATAACTCCGTGTCTTAGGGAACTATATATACTGTATATGATATTTTCAGGATTTGAGAAAATAATCCCTACAATGCCTGTGCAGTTTCTAATAAGTAGCAATTTCACAATAAAATTTTATTAGTTCGTCCTGATTTGCTCCCGCTTCCAAGCTCAGATCACCAACCTGGTATAGCACAGTCACCTTCCAACACTCCTGTCTCACTTGTTAGCTACTTATAGTTCAGTCCTCTACTCTGTTGCCAGAAGCACTTCAAAAATACCAGCACTGTCTCCAGACAGTTTCAGTATTTCTCATTCTTGAATCTGAATTTTTTCATACAGTATAGAAGGCTTTTCATGATCTTTTTCCATTTCCTTATCTCAAGAATCCTTTCCTGTTGTCTCTATTCCTTTTTCACATAGAGACCGTTGAACCTCAAGCCCCTGCATGTCTTTCTACATAGACTCCTCTCGCAGCACCTCTCCTGTTGCCTGGCCTCTGTCCCACCTGTGGGAAGCGGTGCTCCCTAAATCTCTGGCAGATCTACCTGTTCTTTCTCTTGATTTCCACTGCCTTGTGTTCACGTATGTAGCATCACTCCACATCGTGTTAAATTGTAATTGCTTGGTTCTCCCTCTTCCCCCCGAACGATATACTGCTAAGGGGTAGGAAATGCCTTTGTGTGTTTCCTCAGGGTCTGTGTAATATATTACACACAGATGATCAAGGTTTACTGAATGAATTAGTACCTAAAACTAAATTCATCATCTTTAGCCAAGACCTTGTTTCTCCTCCTCTGTAATTGTGTTGTTGGCTACTCAGTTGCTGCCAGCATTTGGAAGAGCTGGCCATTCTTTTTAACCACTATCTTCCCTTGGGTTGTATAGCCCTATGCCTTTTTGACTTTCTCAGATCATTCCATTTTACTCTACAATTTTGGTATTCTCAAGGCTTGGTCTGGATCCCCTTATTCTCTCAGTTCTTCATCCCTCTACCTTTCCCATTGAACAAAACTGACAGCCCTTTTTCCTGTTTCCTGAACTTTTCAGCCCATTTCGGCAAAGTGCCACTATTTCTTGAATAATTACAATAACCTATCTTCTCTGTTCTTCCCCTCTTGCTTTAAGTCTGCCTTCTTTCCCATTTTCCACCCTTTATAACATGACCTTCCTGAGAGGCACTCTACTTAAAATCCTTCCTGTCACCTTTAGGACAAATTCAGAAGTCTTTCTATCCTTAGTAGTATCTCATTCCATTTCCTTCTACTGAATTCTACCGTTTCTCTCTTTCAACACCTTTAATGTAATAAACATGTATATTTAGAAAGTTCCTTTTTTCTCCTTCAAATTTATTAGTAACTTAAGCCTTTCATTTTTGCTTGTTCATGAACACTTAACCAACTTCCATAAAAACTCAAGGATCTCAAAAGTTAACCTGAACAATCAAAGTCTAGTTGAAAAATAGAGATCCAAGACAGATAAGTGTGCACAGCTGTGGTCCCAGCTAATCAATGGCTGAGACAGGAGGATCTCTTGATCCCAGGAATTAGAGGTGATATGATCAACACAGTGAGACCTTGCCTTTAAAAAAAGACAAGAGAAGCCAATAATTAGGCACAGTGGCACAAGCCAGTAATCTCCACAGTGCAGAAACTAAGGAAGAATGATCATGAGTTCAACGGTAACCTGAGCTACATATTGAGTTCAAAGACTTTTCCTGGTTCTTTTTATAATTTCTTTCCAATTGCAATGCCTACTGCTTTGAAACATAATTCATCATCATGTAATGATTATTGGGAGAATAAGAACATGATAGAATACCTGTAGTCCAGACATGTTATCTTTCCTCTTAAGTGGAGAATTTTTGCCGTCCAAAAATCTCAGTAAAGGAAAAAGAGCAGGGAAAATCAGCAGACTAGAAAGAGCATAGTGTTGTGGGACTCATAAAATAGAAACCATTATTACCGTAGAATAATTACCATAGAATAATACATACAGATTGTAAAAAGAAAAGCCATTTATTTTACAAATATGTGACCAAAGATTTTGAAGTGGCATTTTAATAGAAGAATAAAGACAGAATCGTGTTCCTAAGCAGTTAAATGAAAGATTGAAAATGGACAATGGATGTTTTTTGGTTAAAGATAAAATATTGATAGCACTTGAGATAGAATTGATATAACCTCATTTTCTTGTACATTTTCATCAATATGCATAAAAGCAATAATTTCATCATTACTTGAAAAATAGGTAAACTAGGGTAATGTAATAAACTGGACATCATTACTAATTAATAGCTTTATGAAAAGGGCCGTAATGCTAGGTATGGCAGTACATATCTGTACTCCCAGCAATTGGGAGGTGGAAGCAAGAGGATTGCCATGAATTCAAGGCCAGCCTGGGCCGCATAGTGAGTTCAAGGCCAACCTACACTACAGTGTGGGACCATGTCTCAACCTCCCCTAATACACCCCCCCCCAGAAAAGAATGAAAGAAAAAAAAGATAACTTCTCAGGTTCATCAGTCAAATATTATTATGTATGGCAGAGCAGTTCCATAGCAATGAAATGAAATTGTTTTATGTAAATGAAACCAAAGGCTTTTATAGTTCATATTGCATACATCTGACATTATGTCCCGTTTTCCTTAGGTTCTGCGCATTCTGGATCCAGTTACCTGTACAGAAAGCTCAGCTGACAGTCCATTTCCTGAGTCTTCAACAACCACATTGCTTGCTACAAAGAAAAATATTGGGCGATTTCATCCATATACTAGATACGAGAATATAACTTTCAATTGCTGCAGTCACTGCCAAGGAGAATTAATTGCACTTTAACATTCAATATGTTGGAGACGTATTTGTTACTGAAGAATCATTATTACTTGGGGACTGGGATCCCTAGGATGCTAAAAGTAGTATCATTTCCTCTACATTATGAGTATTCACAGAAGTATTTCATGTACTGGACTCCACATTACACTGTCTTAATAAATATCTCAGGTAAGAAAACAGTGAAACTATATTCATATATTTAGAGCAAAGAATAATTTCCAGGCAGTACACAGGAACTTTTTTTGGACCCTAAATTATTATTTTATCTTGTTGGATATTTTATTTGGACTAGTTTCATTTTGGTACACTAAAGGCAGAAACACGCATGAGTCAAATACACTGCTGTTCAATCTGTTTTTGCATTGCAACAGCTAAGTCGACTAAATGCAGCAGAGTTTTTTGGCCTATAAAGCTTTGAAAAGGTTTTTCTGACCCCCACTGTGTCCACTATAAGGGAACAGCTGAAGGGGAAGAAATAGATTATGTTCCTTTTTTTGTTTTCTTTTTTGGTACCAGGGATCGAACTCACAACTGCATGCTTGCAAGTCAGGCGCTTATGCTGGGAGCTAAATCCCTGGCCAGTTGTGTTCCTTTTATGGCAATTTTTTGGACTTACAAAAATTCTAAGGGTGAAGAGACTAATCTTGTAAAATTAAATGCTATAAAGAAAATAAATATTTCAGAGCTAAATTAGTAAATCCATAAACAAAATATGTTCTCAAGTTGCTTCTTTAAAAGGGAGCCTGTATTTTGAATAGGTACAATCTAACTTATTTAAAAGAAACAAAATTCTTAGCTATTGATTCATTATGGCAAACAACTCAAAACAGGAATATCCAATTTAGTATTTACAGTGTATGGTAGAGAAAGTAGAATCAGGAATATTAACTCAAAATTTCATCAATTAATATATTACATAATATATATTAATTATGTGATGAGCCATTGTAAAATGCCCATTTTTTGTCCTTTTAAAATATTCATGAAGTACTTATGTTGAATTACACAAATTATTTGAAATGGCAATCAGAGAAATCTTCAAAAGATAAATCAAATACTAATATATTTTAATGTTATCTTAAAGTTCTTTTTTGTTTTGGTCTGAATCATGCAATAAATTTCTCTATTTTGAATATTTCTTTTCCCCACTTCACAATTTTGTGCTTTGGTTCCAGTCTTCTATTTATCTTTTAATATTCACAGTTATGTCTTTACCTTTTCCTTTAGGTTTATGTAGTACAAAAATATTCATGACTGAGTTTGGGAGTGATTTCTTGGACATGACACTAGAAGCTTAGGCAACAAAGGAAAAAAAGTAGATAAATTGATTTCATTAACGTTTAAAAGCCTTGTGCTTCAGAGGATGGAGTGAAAAGGCAACCCAGAGAATGAGAAAATACTTGGGAATCACATAGCTGAGAAGAGTCTGGGATAAATGAAGAACTCCTACAATTTAGTAACCAAAAACAAACAACCTAATAAATGAACATAGGATTTGAGTAGACAGCTCTCTTTAAAATATACACACACCATACAAAACAACACCCAGATCTCCAGGAGGCATTTCAAAAGATTCTAAATATCACTCATTAAGGAAATATAGCTGTGCCCAGTGGCTCACATTTTTAATCCCAGCTACTCAGAAGGCTAAGGCGGGAAGGTTATTCAGTCAGGGCCATCCTGGACAACTCAGTAAGACCCAATCTTAAATGAAAAATGAAGTTAATACCAGTTGATACTTATTAGGACAACAGTGAACAAAAGAATAAAATAACAAATATTAGCCAGGGTATAAAGAAAACCAAAACCTTTGCTTTGCTCATGGAAATGTAAAATGATGCAGTAGCTATGAAAGTCAGTAGAGAACTTCCTCAAAAAATGAAACAGAACTACCACATGGACTAGCCGTTCAACTTATGGGTAGGTACCCATAAGAATAGAAAGCAGAGACAGGAGTAGATATTTGTACTCCAATGTTCATAATAGTAATAGTGTTCATTATTCACAGTAGCCAAGTGTCAACAATAAATGAATAAACAAAATTGAGTATATACATGCAAAACATTCCATTTCAGAAATAAAAGCAGTATTGATGCATGTAGATAAAACTTTAAGACATTACACTAAGTAAAATATATTAGACATGAAAGAACAAATAAAGCTCCACGAGTTTCCTAGAAAAAGAGCCAAAAGAACTACTTGCCAAAACTTGGAGAGAGCGTAACTGGTGTTTATTGTTTAATGGATACAGTGTTTTAGTTGCAGATGATAAAGAAGTTCTAACGTGGACAGTGGTAATAGTTGTACCACAGTGTCATAGTACTTAATGTCACTGAATTACACATTTAAAACTTTATATTACAAATTCTATGGATATTTTACCACAATACAAAAATAAAATTTTAAAATACTATGTATACATTCATAGCCACAAACTCTTGGCACACTGATTATAACTGTTGGTTTAAGAGTATCTAAGAATAGGGGCTAGGCATTTAGCTCAGTGGTATAAGCACCTGCCTTGCAAATATGTAGTCATGAGTTCGATCCCCGGTACCGATAAAAAAAGAAAAAGACAAAAAATTAAGAGTATCTACGAATAATTCAGATAACAGTACTCAATTTTGATTAAAAAAAAAAAAAGACCTTAAATCAGCAACCAGAAAAAAGACAAAGACCAAGTACAAGCTAGAAGGAAGGGAATTAAGATCAGAGTGGAGGTAGACCAAATGGAAATTTAAGAAACAGTGAAGAATCAAGGAAATCAAAATTTGTTCTTTTAACAAATTAACAAACCTGTCACCAGCCTAAGAAAAAACATGAGTACAGGGAAAAAGAGTTCATAAGCAAGGAAAGAGTAAGAGTCTCAAGTTCTGAATAGAAAGAGTTAAAGCCGCTGCGGAGAACAGTTAAGAGGATAAACTGGAGAGCTCATAAGCAGAGCAGGGAGGAAGACAGACCCTTCACTAAACTGGCAGCCCCTCCCCACCTCCAATAAAATGCAAAGGAGACAAGGTGCACCCCCTTACACGAAAACTCTCAGTATATAAAAATATGCACACCTGTTCACGTGTACACATATATTCTCACTCTTGGATTGTGGCATTCACACAGATCCCCTTAATCACTAACACCAAAGGACTGTGTATTTAAAGCTTCTCCTAACCTCCTCCTATAAACCCCAGAGATAAGGTCCTGAAAAGGATTAATGGGCAGGGAAAAAATGTCACAAGCCCACCTAGGAACATGCACACAGTGATGGCAGACAGGGTAGAGTCCTGTGGCGTAGGATCTAAATCCAGGGAACAGTCGGGTTGTGAGAAGTTCCAGGAATTGACCTGGGAGGAAGGGGCTTTTATCACCTGATAAGAGGAAACGGAACAGAGGCCTGTGGTTGTCTGGTCCAAGGCTCCCTCTACCCCTCAATGCAGCTTTCTGGCGTCTGACTTGTACTTAGGAATAAAGTGTCTTCCCTCTTAAACCGCCTGCTTTTAATTAATTTGGTACTGTTGCTGAGTTTACTATTCCAGTTGAGGGCAGAGCAACAGTGTGGTGCACAGCCCCAAAGCAAAATGAGCAACTAAAATCAGAAATGAAAGCAAAAACGCTAAAACCAACTACAAAAGAAAAAGAACTGTACTTTAACAAATTAATGTAACTGGATAAAATGGGAAAATTCCTAGAATGATACAGATCACCAAAATTGATTCACACAGACAAAAAAGAAAACTGAAAGGACTCAAAAAATAGACATTAAATCAGTAATCAAAAACTTCCTGAGATCTGGGGTGCCCTCACTGGCCTCTCTGCGTGTCTGGAGGACTCTGGATTTCTGCGCCCAGACTGCTGGAGTTCCCTCAGGCTTCCAGGTGCAGTGAAGGAGAGAGGTGGGTTTAAGGCTTCCACATCAGCCTCCCCATTCCCGGCTTCATTTGGAGACCTGCTGAGCTCCCGATAGGTGGGCTGGCCCACACTACCAGCCTAGCCCAGCCTGTTTAGCTGCCGCACCTGGCCACAGGTCTGCAGAGGAGGAGCTGGGCAGATCTGGGGTGCCCTCACTGGCCTCTCTGCGTGTCTGGAGGACTCTGGATTTCTGCGCCCAGACTGCTGGAGTTCCCTCAGGCTTCCAGGTGCAGTGAAGGCGAGAGGTGGGTTTGAGGCTTCCACATCAGCCTCCCCATTCCAGGCTTCATTTGGAGACCTGCTGAGCTCCCGATAGGTGGGCTGGCCCACACTACCAGCCTAGCCCAGCCTGTTTAGCTGCCGCGCCTGGCCACAGGTCTGCAGAGGAGGAGCTGGGCAGATCTGGGGTGCCCTCACTGGCCTCTCTGCGTGTCTGGAGGACTGTGGATATCTCTGCAACCAGGGAGGGTCCACAGGTTCCTGAAGCACTGCGGCCTGTGGTGAGTACCCTAACCCGGCTGCGATTGAAGAACTGTGGAGCTTCCAAGGGGCAGGTGGGCGCACAGTGTCCCTGAGGCCCAGCTTGTCTGGAACTGCGGAGTTCTGAGCAGGCAGAGGAGGGCCACTGGTTCTGTAGGCCTAATGGCTTGGAGTAGCGCGGCGCCAGAGTCCCAGTAGCTCCAAACATAGAAGGGGATTTTCAACAGATCCTGAGGAAGCTTTCAAATAACACTTGAAACACAGAAATATAGGAAAATGACAAAACGAAAGACCAAATTACAACCTCAAACCTCCAGCCCATCTCAAGAAACCCTAGGAGCGATGTATATAGAAGAAAATATATCCCATTCACCTCATATATCGGACACAATAGCCACTGAAATTGACAAGCAACTCCAGGAAGCTTTAAAGAAATTCAAACTCGAAATAATCTCCCAGATAAAAGAAGAAATGATAAAAGAAATGAAAGAGATTCTAAATATATCTAAAGAAAACACAGATAAAAAATTGGAGGAACTAAACAAAAAGATAGAATCCCTAGACGAGCAATATAAGAAACAAACAGAATACATAATGCAGATGCACAGAGATATACAGGAAATAAAAAACTCCACTGAAAGTTGTAAAAACCGCCTTAATGAAAGTGAAGATAGAATTTCAGACCTTGAAGACAGGATTGCAGCTAGTGAACAGGAAAGGAAAGATCTTTTGAAAATAACAAGGAACCAGGAAACAACAATTCAACAACTGCAAGACGATGCAAAGAAGAATAACATAAGAATGATAGGGATTAATGAAAGAGAGGGAGACAACATGAAGGATGTCAGGAGGATATTTAGAGAAGTAATAGCTGAAAATTTCCCAAGCATGAGATCAGAAACTGACATCAGGATCAGTGAAGCATATAGAACTCCAAACAGTCATAACCAAAATAAAACTACACCCAGACATATAATAGTCACCATCCCAGAAATCCAACACAAGAATAGATTATTAAAAGCTGTCAGAGAGAAAAGACAAATCACTTATAAAGGAAAACCTATCAGAATCACAGCAGACTTCTCAGCACAAACGATAAAGTCAAGAAGAGCATGGAGTGAAGTATTCCAGATCCTAAAGCAAAATGATTTCCAACCAAGACTGATATATCCTGCAAAACTATCATTCAAAATAGATGGTGCAATACGATACTTCCATGACAAAGAACAGCTGAAGAACTTCATGAACACCAAACCAACCCTGCAAAAAATATTGAAAGACAGTTTAGATACACAAAGGAAAAAACCACTAAGCAAAGCAAATAATTAAACAGAACCGAAAGATAAAGATGCAACAGCAGAGAGATAACATTCCTACAATTAACCAGCATTTAACAGTAATAACCATTAATGTAAATGGTCTCAATGCACCAATCAAAAGAAACAGACTAGCAGAATGGATCAAGAAACAAAATCCAACCATATGCTGTTTACAGGAAACCCATCTAACCCAGAAAGATACTCACAGACTGAAAGTCAAAGGATGGAAAACAATTCTTCATGCAGCAGGAATCCAAAAAAGGCAGGAGTAGCCATTCTGTTTGCAGACAACATGAACTTTAAACCAACAATGACCATAAAGGACAAAGAAGGTCACTACATACTCGTAAGGGGAAAACTCCAAGAGGAAGAGATAACTATCTTAAATATATACGCACCAAACTCCAGAGCACCCAGTTATATAAAACAATTA